CAGAATCTCCCCTAGCACATTGTAACACGTTTTACAGCTTGAGCAGGGCAAAACAGCCGTCTGCCGACGCTGCTGGCTGCCCAGTCCACAGCCCCGGCGGGAGGACGAGGCCGGCTGCCTGCCCCTGTGGCTGCCAGCCCTTTGAAAAGCCAGCCCGCTTCCCTGATTGATTCACTTTTTAATGAATGGGGGAAGCCTGTGAACTTAAACCCTGACACCTCCACCTCCCTCCCATCCTACCTATCCCTCCAGCAATGGCTCGATTATATTTCAAGTTATTATGGGATTAATACAGCTGCCCCGGGTGCCTCTTTCCCCTGAACTTCATCAATAAAAGCTGTGTACTGCTCTTACTCTGGCTGGTCCAGCTTCTGCCTGGATCTGCCTGTGATGCCTCATAAGGTTCTATCATATCAGCCCTTCAGTGCTGCCAACACTGCTGCTGGGTAAGGCCTGCTCATGTCATGGCCCCACATAGGCTGTGCATAGTTAACAGGACGTCTTGAGCTTCGCTGTGCACTGCATCAGCTCTGTAAGTGGGCAGCACATAGTACTACAGATAATAATAAAATAAGATAATCCATTAAAAAAAATGCCAGTGTCATCTTGCTCGGAAACCATCACAGAGCTATGAAAAATCTTCTACATAGGCATACCTTCAGTGGAAAGAAAGAAAAGGGGGGAGCAAAGACTTGGGCCCAGCATAACCCAATTTTTCCCCCATAGTACTCCCTCATACAGTACAAGCTTTAGGCTTACTTTTGGTGTTGGCATTACAGGTTTCCTCCCCCCCCAAGAATCCCATTTTCCAAAAATGTCATTAAAAATGTAATTAACCGGCTTGTTCTTTGGAAAGTCTGCAGTTGTTTACGAAGGAATTGCCACACAAGCTGCCACCTTCAACTGTGTTGCACTAGGAAGTTATGCTCTTGTTTACAACTGTGCATCAATTCCACAATATATTTAGTTTTGGTACAAGTTACATATAAAATTCTCACTGAGCTTAATGTTGCAGCAAATAACAGATACAGTAAGTGAGTAGGATTTATCACTGGCTGTAATGTCACAGTACATATTCTAAATATATACGGTGAGTGATATATGCACACACACATGCAAACAAAATGGAAATATATTTAGTTTAAGAAGTGATGAATTGTGTTTGCTTTCATTCTTCTCATTTTGCATGTAGGAAAATGGAGATCGAGCACATCCACCGAAGCGGCGGCTGGTTGGACTTGCAAGCACGCTGGGGAAGGAGCAGCTCAGTGCTACCCATGGGGCGTCCCTTCGCAGGGGGCACGCGTTGCAGCTGTGTGATGTGCACAGAGCTGGTGGCGCTCACTGGATGCTCCCAGAAGACAAACAGCATTGGTCCAGATCAAAGGCCTCCCACAAGAAATTCAGACTTCTTTGTTAGAGAAGTAAGTGGCAATCTTCCCCTTTCAATTCTTCTTTTCTTTTTCTTATGGTTTCTCTTGTAAATACAGAGGCCAGAAGGCCATGCTTAAAGAATTAATTTCCAAATTTGCAATATTGTTTTGAACTATAGCAATTAAACAGAAAATAATCAGTTCAGCATCCTGTTTGGATGTAATTAAAGGTATAATCTGTTCCATTTGAATACTTCAATGCTTACCCTTCTTAAAAAAACAAATAAGAATAGTAGCTCATTTGCAATGTTTTTTTTCCAACCCATCTAAAAAGACTAACTGATGAAGCAAGAATAATAATTTTTAAATGTGGCATAAGCACAGAAATATCAACTGCAGCTTTCAAATTATTGCTGCAGATCCCGAGCCTGATGAGAGCTCAATAACAAGGGGTATGAGCTTTATGGCGAAACACTGAAGTCTTCCACTATTTCCTATCAGCATCTTGATATGGCTGATATAATTACCTATCAAATACATCAGTGGAATGAATATCAGAGGATATAAAAAAATACATAAGTCGGATGCATATCGGCTCAGTCTTTTAGGGGCTGTTTGATCTCAAGGTTTTTTGTAAGAATAAAAGACCAATATGGCATTCATTGCCCTTTGTTTTCTATAAGCAGTGATGATTTTACAGCACAATAAAATTAGACTATTATTGGCTGGCTTATGAGTTCTAGCTGGATCTTTTTCCTCCTATCGGACATTTCTTCACTGCTTCTCAAAGAAATTGAAGTCAGGTGTAAAGTTAATATCTGCCCTGTTCATTTATTCTTCTGTAAGCAATCAAGATTTTCCCAAATCACAGGGCAATCTCTTGCCTTTTGAGAAGGAATATAGGCCCTATTCTCTCCATTTAGTTTAACAAAACAACTGGCAGAAGTTCAATGGAACCGATGATTATTCCAAGAGGTTACGGCAAACCACTGACGTTGTTAGCAAAAGGCTCGCATGTAAGATTCCCTAAGAGGAAAAGTGCGTGGATATTTCAAGTAATTAACAGTGAATTCCAACAGTGTGAAAAATAAGCAGTGGCTGTACCGGCTGCACAGGAACCCGGCTGCATGACGTGGGCACTTTGGTGGCCACTGCTCCCTTAAAAGCAGCACAGGACAGGGCCAGCGGTGGTGGTGATGATGAGGAATGTCAGGACTGGCCCCATCCATGCACGTTCCTCGTGTGTTGCTGCTTTTGCGATTGGACGCAGTTAGGCATATAGAAGTGACCAAGCATCCTATGAAGCAAAACACTTTTTATTATTTTCTTAACCAGTAAGAAAAGTCAGAATTTCAAACTCGGTGTTTGTCAGCTGAGGCGTACTTCTAACAAGGCAGGCAGAAGACTTACACTGATAAATTGACTGTCAAAACACAGGAGCAAAGGGTAAAAAGTAGCACAGTGCTCTGGGAGACCTGTTTAGCCAGTCAACAGGAGAGAAGTTTAAGCTCAAAGTTTTAGGGGTTACTAAAATTCCTGGCCTTTTGGGTGTGTGTGCCTTGCCTCTGAAGCTCCTGGTCCCTTGCACGGCCCATCCTGCAGTGCTGGGGATCTCAGGGCAACTTTCCTCCAGCCAGCCCTGCCTGGCAGAGCCTCGGCCCTCCCTTCTCTACAGTTATGGTTTTCACACAGCAGTAATGAGAAGCTCCATTTAATAAAATAACAATAAAAAATGCAGCCCTCATAGTGCCAGGCTGTGGTTCGTCCTTTAGCAGCGGCCAGAGGCAAGCAGGAGCGGGGGAGCAGCATGTGCCACCAAGACAGGCAAGGGCAAAACACACAGCTATGGCTCCCGAGCCCATCGAGGCGAACATCCTGCCTGCACACCAAGAGCGTTTTTGTGGATGTAACTAAAGGAAACACAACAACAGAACCCGGCTTGTTAAAAAATACCCACAGAGGGGGAGAGAAAAAATAAAAATCCTCAACACAGCCTCGTCTGTCTCCAGCAAACAGGGCTTTTTTCAGGCCCTGGGCTCAGGCGTGGGCCCAAGCCCCTGCGGGTGGTGTTATTGGCTGACGGCCTTCCTGGCTGCATAGAGGCTGAAGCGCGGTCCTCTCCCTGCCCTCAGCACTGACCGCCCCACAGCCCTCATGCCTCCCTGCTGCCACCCAGCCCACAGCCCCGCGGATGGCACACGGCTGTGTGACTGGCCAGCCCCCCAAGGAACATCTCTGAGACACCGCAAAACAAGCAGCGCTTATCTCATGCATGCCACAGGTGTGATGTCATCCCCTCTGGCGAAGGAAGGAGGATGTCTACAGCCTCCACCGTGCAAAAACAGGAACTGAAGTTAATGTGCCTCAGACTTTGTTAAAATATGGTGATAATTAAGAAATATAATTACCACTACGAAGTTAATGCCTCTCTGAGTTCTTACAAACAACTTTTTAATTTGCACTGAGCATTTACATTGCAGATGCACAGTCAGCTGGGTGTGGGGCCGGCAGTGCTGCAGTCCATGTGCCACGGCCCACCTGGAGGGCAGGCGTGCTGAGGAGCCCCGTCAGACACACACTGCGTTCTATTAAGAAAAGAAAAGAAAGGAAAAAACTTACGAGGTAATTGATTGCTTTCTTCTAGTCTTTTATTAGTTGTGATTAAGGAGCTACAGTAGCCCTGTTTACACATCTCCAACAAGTCAGGACCTGCAGCACATCATTGGCTTGCGGCCCACAACGCGCAGTCCGTTCTCTGCAGCAGCGAAGTGGAACGGCCCTGCAGGAAGCGCGCTTCCCTGCTCACATGGGGCAGGGGCAGCAGTAATGCTGCAGGCCCAGGGCTCAGCCCCGACTTGCCGCTGCCCTGGGCACGCTCTGTGAGCAGAACACGGGGCCCAGGCAGGGACACAGCGAGCTCACTGCTGCTCACAGCTCACGGACCGAACCGAGAGCTCCTCGCTGCTTAACATGCAGGCAAAGCACTGCCAATCTAAAATGGCTGATCAGTAATACTTTAATTGCAGTTTCATAGAAACAAATTGCTATTTAATTGCAGTGAGCTCTTCTGTGGCTTCGCTGGACTGACAACAGGCGTACACCTGGTACTGAAAAGCAACAACAAAGGCTCCCTGGTACTTCATGTACTGCAGGCACGGGAAGTGAAACCGGTCCTGGAACACGTCTCAAGCTGAAGAAACACAATACTTTGAAGGTATTTGACATATGTGTCCTGATCTCAATTTCAATTATTTCAACAGAGCTGTTCAGAACACGGGTAACTTGCACAAGGCCTGACACCTGATCCTGGCCAAAGAATTTGGTAAAAAAATAAAATTAAAACGCTCTTTTGAAATGCTTGGTAGCAACTCATACTACAGTAGTATCTGATTTCTTTTATTTACTGTATTTCTCCTAGAATTAGATGATGCAAATTTTATCAGTGTTAACTAACAGGGAGGAAGGGAGACAAACTCAGTGTGGTTAATATTCTCAAGATGTGACTTAATTTCATAGGCTTCATTCTGGTAAGACATTCTCATTTTACATTTCGTAAGATACTGCATAACCTGTTAAAATATTTAAAGATAAATCATGTTGGACTGAAAAGACAGTATCTTGTTGCAAACAGAATTTGGTTTGGAAAGGCTTAATGTCCCACTGCCTGCCAGGATGCGTAAATCTCATAACTAGACAGCTGGATAGGTAAAAACATTAAACCCATTTAGAGGGCAATCTTTTTACAAAATTGTTTCATTAATAAGAGTGACAATTTATATGATTGAGACGCTTAGATGCAGTATAGACAGAGCCTTTTATCCAGGTTCACTAGGATGATTTCAGATTAGTAATATTTCCTTTGATTTTTTTAACAGCATTCATTTTTGAAAGTGAGGGAAGCTCTTACTGATTATTTGTATGACTTTTCAGCAGCACTAAATGCAGGGGGTGTATTTCAGACTCAGCATAGCAAATGCATGTGATAAAAGGTGAACAAGTACATGTTTCCTTTTACAGATCTCCTAAAAAAATTGATTTTTCACATAAGGACAAATCTAAGTGTTTCCAGTAGCCTTCCCCCCAGCGTCCCCATTAGAGGCTGTTTTATTGTCTGAAATACCTCTGGTTTCAAGAAAGTGTTTTACCTAAAGGAAGAATACTACTTAAATATGTTCTATTGTATATTCATAGCTCCATTAGTCCTCCTCCAATTTAGCACATCAAAGCAAAGGCTTCATCACTTGCATGTGGATTATGCTAACATGAGTGACATTTGTAATCTTATAGGTCTGCAACTTAAGAAATGCTTTTAAAGTAAGCTATTAAAAAGGTAGCTGCGCTTTACAAACGAGTCATATAATAGTTTATTTAAAGCCGTTAATGAACTTCAACCTCTACATCACTAAACGCTATACTACATTACTTACTAGAAGTTATTAGGTATCTTCTTAGCACTTCTAGGTTACATTGGACAACCGAAAATCTGCACGTTAGATTTAACCGTGGTACCTTGAGTGCTTATACTGGAATAATTACAGGATGCCTACAGACTCACTGATACTTGAATTCCACATTTGTATGATTTCGAGTGTCTTTTCAAAGACGTTCCAGCCACACAATTTGCAAAACTCTTACCTAAAGACTGTAATGCGAGATCAAAAAGCTTAGAAACTTATTTTTAAAAATACATAAGTGCATTTAATTAAAAAAGTCATACACAGCTTCATATCGCTTTATATGATAAGTATTCTGTTATCTTTACTGTCTGTCACCGTATGTTATATCTTTCTCTTTTCTCTTCAACAGTCCTATTTTTGCCAAGGCAATGAAGTGCTGAAGGAAGAAATCCAAGAGACCTCAGCACACTAGGCCAAGAAGTAGAATCTGAAACAAAATGTATCTGCTACTGGTTGTTCAGACAAATCTACAATTCTGCTTCTTATGCACCAGCGTCACAACGAAAGTAAGTGAAGCTCACTCCATAACCAAACAAGCTACGCCTTCTTGAAAACAGAATTTAAAAAGAGAACATAATCACACTGTATTTCAAATGCATTATTCTCTGATAGAAGTCAAACAGCTGGTAATGCTGATTTGCTCTGAGTTGCAGCAGAGGCACCTTCTGGGTGCCCACAGTTCCCTGACTGAAGGCATGCAGTGCATCACAGATTCATGTTACTGTTCTTGCTATAAGTATGAAAAATGAGGATTTTTTTCTCAGAGTTGGTCTGCACAGACCTGAAAGGAAAGGCCCACTGAACAAAGCTGCCCTCTTTCTAAGCTTAGAGAAAGTTTTCTTACTTTGGAGGGCGTTGTTTTTTTGTTTCCTTCCATAGAGCAAACCATAGCTGCCATCAGTTTGTTCTTGGAAGTAGCCCAGGAAGCTCGCTTTTCTTTCCTTCAGATTATTAGTTTTAAAAGTTTCTTGCACAGCAGATTCCAGTTTATTTTTATTCAGATCAGAACAGCTATTGTATTCCTCTCTATGAATGTTCAATTCTAGTGCTCCGCATGAGGTACACACCTTCTTTGCTTTTATTGTTATTTCTGGATCTCTTAAAGTGTGTTCATACACCCTCATGCTTGCACACTCACAGACACGCATACATCTAACATGGGCAGTTTTGCAGGGAGGAGCCAGATAGAAAGAGACCACAATACCTATAACGTGTACCACACTTAACCACAATCTGAACTGTCTTGCATTTGCTGTTATTAGAAGCAAGAATCTCAATGAAAACTAATGATCACTTTGAAGCAGCGCCTCCCTGTATCCACACCAAAATTAACACGGTAGTTTAACAGGTTCTTTAGTGGCATAAGACAAAACAAAAAAGGAACCCACCAAAAACCTCCAAACCAAAACCTTATTTTTAAAGGAAACTGACAATTAAGGCAATGACTTTGTTTCAGAGCACTATTTTGAGTGTAGTTTTGTTGTTTGTTTGTTTGTTTTTTTCAAGAAAAAAACAGCAACGTTTCTAAAACCCAAACTCAATTCAGTGGTTTTTGTTTTACTTTTTATTATTTAAATACACCATACTAGAGCAAATGTCTCTGAAAATATCACAAATAAAAGATTTTTCTTCATTCAGCAAATTAGAAGTAGGTGAAAATTTCTACACAGTAGCTGCTATGAGCCTGACTTTTTTTTTCCTTTTTCTCCTTTTTTTTTTTTTGCCATGGGAAGTAGCAACATTAGGACAAAAACACTTACATGCATACATACATTGTATTTTACAGAGATACAATAAAAGTGTTTGTGATAGAATATCACAAAAGCCACATTTTTCCTTTATCTCATGTTCAGTTTGATTGAAACACATTTCCTTACAACACTTAAATATACAAAGAGCAAATAGAATGTTGTTAAGGTAAAATACAGGGTACAAACTGGCTAGTGCCCTGCTAATTGTTAATGAGGGTAGAAAGCAGATTTCAATGCTTCTTTTAATTAGCTTCATTAGTCATCTTCCCCACCCACCCCCCCAAAGATGTCCTCCGGTGGATCTTTTTTCATTTTCTCTACAGTCTCCCATTAGCCCAGGTTCATGGAGTCCTTAATGTTCATATTCAGTCATTTTAATACACCAATAAATGTGGGAAGGGCAATCAAGAATAAAGAAGGTGCAATGGTATGGAGCTGGCACTGATGCTAGCTACAAAGGTGACTTGTCTACTTGGAGACATGGGATCCATCTGTGATGAACAAAATTTGAGATGAAGGCACGCATTCTGCAATACTCTGACCTTTTAGCAGACCTGCAAGAAATAAAAATGGGTATCTTAGCTAGAATACTAAATTTGAGATAGGAAACTACAACATGACTGCTTTTGTCTTTTCCTTATTCACTAATCTCTTTTTTATTAGATTACTTTCCAACTGTGACTTTCTACACTATCCATTCATAGTGCTAACGTTTCAACTTCAAATAGCAAAAAGCAAGCATTTTCTGCAGTATCACTACTAAGAAGAACAGACAGTAAAGAATAAAGAGAAACGACAACAATAAATAAGTGTACTTTCTGGTAGCAAATGGTACGGTGAATAAGGTGGCTTTTCTGGGCCCCTTTTTAAAAGGGAAGAAACATTATGCCATGCCTTTGAAGAAGTCAGTAATGTGATCTTATAATTGGAAGAAATAGCGTGTAAAGCAAATAAAAAGTACAGCCAATATCCTCCCAAGGCAACTTTGGTTAATATGCTGCACTGCATAAGAGCTAAATATAGATATTTCAGGATTTTTCCCCCCCATTTGAAATTCCTCATCTGGTGTGTTAGTTAATGTTACATAAACATTTTAATATATGAAGTCAAACATGTGCTCTCACACTGGTGTTAATGAATTGTGATAATTAAAAGTGTCTAAGTCGATAAAAATCTAAACTTTCCGGGACAAAATAGAAATGATCATCCATAGTCTTCAAATACAATCTGTTTGCAATTACCAAAATGAAATAATATATATGAGAATTTTATGGTTTTTAAATGGCATTTTGTGCTTCCCAGGAAGTTCTTTTTCCACCCTTTCTCTAAGTTACTAAAAGCCTGAGGTCTATTAGTAACTGCAACCCCCCACTTTCAAGCTAATTAAAGTAGTAGAGGCTTGGAGGTTTAATTCCCCAGAGCTGAAGCTCAGTGTGAGAAAGGTAATTTGTCTGTCCAGAACAAAGATTAGGGAGCAGCCAGCAAGCATATTTAATAAATGAGCATCAAATATCTTCTACTATGGACACAGACAACACCAATTATGTAACTACAAGGGAATTGTTGAGTGATATGTAAACTAGAAGATTTTTCAGATCTTCTCTGAGAGATGTAATCTAACTCATACTTTATTTAAAAGTATAGGAGCTGAAGACAAGCGTTCGCTATGAACGCTGCCAGCCAGAGGAGAATTTACACTTATAGTAGGTGGTAAGGTTGTTAGCAAACAAGAGATGCTACAGGAATACTGCCACTGTCAAAAATGCAGAGACAGTTCTCTGTGGAGGATGATACGACCCCGGCAAATAAAATGGCCCCCAGGACATCAGCCAGCATTGAGGACTGCGTTGTGCCGGCAAGCAGAGGTGAAATAGTGTTGTGGTGTTTGATTTTTTCCAAGCAAGCGATGAGAAACTACAATTTCCACGTGTGGATCAGATCAGGGAGGCAAAAGGCAGGAACAGCAAACATTACTGCTTCGCCTCCTTAAAAAGAAAATCAAGTGCTGAAAGTTAGGCTGTGCAACCTTTTCTGCCTGCACCCATCACCAATAAATATACAGTTTACAAGTTAATATGAAGACAATCCTAAGTATGTAACTGCCACCTTCACAAACACAACAAAAATGTGTTTTATTGCAAGGAGTACGTCTCAATCTCTTCAGCTTAATGAAAAAAAAACCACCACCCTGTGATTATTCTGCTGTGTCCATAATCTCTAGTGGCAGAATAACCTGGAGACTGATTGATCTTTAATGTTTAATAAAGAGGATCTGTTACAGCCAACTCCGTCATAGTGGAAGAACATTTTTAATTACTGGCCCTAAAACATGCGGCTTTCTGGAAAGCATCTGCGATGTTTACATCTTCAGATTGTTAAAAAGCTAACACACGAAACACAATCTTTGTCACCTGCCCCT